TAGGTTAAAACTAATTGCAACGTAAGTTGTAACATTAAAAGTTGCAACATATTAATTACAGTTCCCATCTTTAATCATGACCTTATCCTCTTTTGTTAATTTTGATATTAGCAAACGAAAATAATAAAAATTAATTTTATGAAATTTCTTAAATAAATATCTTATGTTTTTTATTATCTATTTTTTTATTTTTTTTTTTTTACGGAAATACTATAAAATTCTGTCCCATTATTTTAATTGAATTACTTCAGAAGGAATAGGCAAGGATTTTAAAGAGCAATCACATTGCATCAATCAAAAATTTTTTTTCCTGATTTGTGGCCTTTTTTGTTTTTATTTCTTTATTAAATTTTAACAAATTTGGTTATAAATAAAAAATAGTTGAAACTTTCTATTGTAATAAGGTCTAAATTTTGATTATAATCTTTAAAGTACCTAATAAGATTATTGTTTATTTGATAATTATTTAAAACATATCCTGAATCATAAATAAACTCATCAACGTCGTGATTTTCACCAGTCAAATTTGTTTTGAAAATATTTGGTAACATTCAGTTGTAAATATCCATCCATAGTTGTGCATATGATTACTCACACTTTTTTTTTTTTACTTTTCGAATTCATATTATGCACAGAATTTTTTTTTTTTAAATGTAAGATAGACAAGACAGACTTGGATGATTTTATACATTTGTGTTGTGATCTAAGAAAATCAAGTTCTAAGAATTTTAATAAAATTGAGATTTTAATTGCATTTTAATTTTATTACAAAATTTAATAAAATATTAACTTTAGTTAAAAAATTCTCAGAACCTGATATTCTCTGTAAAAAAAATTTCAGTGCTAAACAGAAAATATCAAGTAGTTTTTAATTAATGATAACCACCCCTGTCACTAAGAAACAATCTATTGTTGCTTGTCTAAACTTATTTTGGATTTGGCAAAATGGTAAAGCCTTTAGTTTCGCTAAATTTTTACTAAGTGTTTGATATAGTTTTGCTATTTTTATAAGCTTTGATATAGTTTTACCTTTTTCCAAATTTCGCAGATTTTTTAATAAGGTTTTAATATAATTTAACCAAGTTTTACTTTTACTATTTAGACGTATGTTTAAACTCTTAATTTCGTCTAGCAACCTTAGAACAATCCTTAGGAATTAATTAATATACAGGCCTGCCATAACATAAAACTTTTAATGATCCAGCCTATATTGAGATTAATAAAGCCTTTATAACACATAATAAACAAAGTACTGTATATTTATTGGGAGTAGTAACGGAATTATTGTCATTCAGATTATGATTTACCCATTTTAGTTTATATTTATTTTATTTTTGTTTGTAGGTAACTCAATTTAGAATTATTTAATGCAAATTGTAATTGATATTAAGAGATAACTCGGTTGAAATATCCTTATTAAGCTTATTCTAAGGAATTTATTTAAAATTTTGGACAAATTACGCAATACAGAAACTTTGTGAGTCATAAAACCTCTTCATATATTATAGGAAAATTACAAACAACGAGTGTTAGACACTGCGAAAAATATATATATCAAATTAAAAAAAACTATGCAGAAATATCTCGTTCGAAATTTTTTTTAAAAAAAATAGTAAACTTGATATTTATAGTTCAGAACGTAAATGTAAGTAGATTATTAATTTTGAAATAGTTTGTAAAATCATAGAGTCCCAATATTTATAAAATTTTAAAAAAAAATTTTAATAAATCTTTTTATTACTTATTTTTCACTTTTGAATGTCATAATAAAATAACATTAGTTCAGGATATTGCCTAACCTCACAATTGTTTCTCTATTAATAACTAAAAAAAAAAGTTTATAAATTATCAAAAGTGATAAGTTTATTTCATTTCATATAAAAAAAATAGGCCTCAGTACCTTATTTAACTAAAGTTATGGAATCATCAATTTCATTTAAAGCGTAAATAGCAGCTAATTTTTTAGCTTCCGATTTATTTCTCGCCCTTTGAGGACAAGCTTTTTATTAATGACAATTTCAAATGTAAACTGAGGTTGAATATTCTTATTTTCAACTTCATATTTAGGTAAACCAAAAGTTTTCTTTGAAACTAAGTTTGAAGTTTATTAATTGGAACTACAAGGGTTAAAGTCATAAAAGGTACATCTGATTATAGGTTTAAAAGTATGATTATTATTTTCCTGTGCATTATTTTTTTCCTGAAGAAGTTGCTCAACGTTTGGTTCTAATAAAAGTTTTATCAATTCAATTAATTCTAGAAAATTTTGGTCTAAATCCAAAAAAACGGTACTATATAAGCTTCAAAAGCGTTTTATAAAATCTTTTCATTATTTCTTGCATTGGTAATTAAAGCACCTTTGCCTAATTTCAACTTTGTTTCTAATTTTTAAACCTAACGCAAAATCTGCCAAAGTTTGTTTGCAAACCATCTTTGCTTTTATCATTGTAAGTTTTCCTTCATTTTACATTTTTTAGACAAATAACTTTATATACAAAGGATATGACTGATCCCCAAGAATTCTAACTTTTCTTTAAGATTTCCACTTATCAGATTTTTGTATGATATGTTTATACAAAATCTCGAAGATCAAAACCTTGAATGATCATAATCTCGAATGATCATTATTATTGCTGTGCCCATAAAGAATGCAGATTATATTAAGAATTTTTAAGCATTATATTTTGAGTTTTATCATGAGTTTTAATGAGTCTGTTGTATCCAAAATGTGTTAATATCTAAAATGGTCATTTTGGATATCCCAAATCAGAATACGCATTTGGGATATTCCAAATGCGAAGATTGTTTCAGACATGAATTTGTTTTAAATGAGCATTTATCCCAGATGATCATATGGGATGTCCCAAATACTCATTTCAGATATCCCAAATGATCACTTCAGATAATATCCCAAATGCTCACTTCAGATAATATTCCAAATACTCACTTCAGATATCACAAATGATTACTTCAGATAATATCCCAAATGCTCACTTCAGATAATGTCCCAAATGCTCACTTCGGATCATACACCAAATGACCACCACTTCACCCAATAATCACTTCGATTCAAATTATCAATTCAGATGCTCAATATGACTATTTTATATTCTAAAAAACCATTTCAAATGATCCAAATGATAAAGATAGAGCATCTTAATTAGTAATTCAACTTTTGGGCATATAATATAAATAATGTTATTTTTCTATATGTCTCTGGTCATTTGAAACATTCGAAGAGGTCATTTGTCTGAAATTACAATTCGTGAATGTCAGAAGTAGTTATTGGGATATCTGAAATGCATTTGGGATAATATCCAAAGTGAGTATTAGGACATTATCCGAAGTGAGCATTTGGGATATTATCTGAAGTGATCATTTGGGATATCTGAAATGAGCATTTGTGATATTATCTGAAGTGAGCATTTGGAATAATTTCTGAAGTGGTCATTTAGAATATCTGAAGTGAGCATTTAAGACATTATTTGAAGTGAGCATTTGGGATGATTTCTGAAGTGATCATTTGGGATATCTGAAATGAGCATTTGTAATATTATCTGAAGTGAGCATTTGGGATAATTTCTGAAGGATCATTTGGGATATCCGAAGTGAGCATTGGGACATAATCTGAAGTGAGCATTTGAGACATTATCTGAAGTGATCATTTGGGATATCTGAAATAAGCATTTGTGATATTATCTGAAGTGAGTATTTGGGATGATTTCCAAAGTGGTCATTTGGGATATTCGAAGTGAGCATTTGGAACATTATCCGAAATGAGTATTTGGGATATTATCCGAAGTGGTCATTTGGGATATCTAATATCCCAAATGCGAATTCTGATTTGGAATATCTGAAATGATTATTTTGGACATTAACGTATTTGGATTACAATAAGTCTATTAAATTTTCTCTTAAATTTCGTAATGTAAAAAAAAAATTATTTCTCATCATTTATAAAATACTTTTGCCAAATATTAGATTCATATGAAAAATTGCGAAATCATGGAAATCATATCTTATCAAAAAGGAAATAATATTCATGGCTTTAAGAGCGAACTTTGAAAAATACTATTATTAGTGTTATGAAAAAAAAGTAAGAGAAATGTAAAGGTTGTGCAAAAACTATTCTTAATAATAGTTCACACTACCTTCAAATATATTCTAATCATATTCATGCTCCTCAAGCTAGCAGTAGTAATATTGCTAAAACTATTGCTAATATTAAACAACAAGCTTTAATAACAAGAGATCAATCTGTTCAAATTATTCAAAATAACATTATAAACATTTCTGAATAAACTACATATAATATGCTATCCTGAAATGCCCTTCATATGAAAATTAAACATATTAGCAGAACAGTAATACCATCACAGCCAAAAACTATAAATGAGATTAATGTTTCAATTTCCCTTTGTTATACTTTAATTGGAAATTTATTTTTAATTAAAGGTACAAGAATTAATCAAGAAAGGATTCTTTTTTATTATTACAAAAACAAATATGCAATATCCATCACAAGCAAGATTTTGAATTATGAATGATACTTTTAAAACAGTTCTGACTGTTTTATATACAATTCATGCTCATGCTTCTATTAGTACAAAAGATAACTCTAAAACTTTATCACTTATATATGCATTAATGACTAATAAATTAAAAGAATTTTATAAATAATTTTTCACGATTTAATTAATTTTACTAAAGATAATAATATTAAATTAAAACTATTAACAATTATTACAAATTTTGAAAAAGTAGCAATCAATAAATCATATTGTAGATTTCCTAAAATTAGAAACAAAAAATGCTTTTTTTTTATTTAAGACAAAATTATTGGAGAAAAATATAAGAATTTGGATTAGTTATCTAATATGCATTAATAAACATTTTAATATTATAATACGTGATTTATTGCATTATTATTTTTACTATTAAGTAAAATTCCTATAGCATTAGATATTATAAAATCAGAAAAATCTTCAGTAGCCAATAATATATTAATGATAATTATATTCATAGAAAAATACGAAGATGATTTTAAACTAGCAATGTAATTTATATACCTTCACTTTTTCACAACAAGTATAGTCAGTATATGATTTAATAGAACTAAAATACTGCAAACTTAAAATAAAATTAAAGTTAGCATCATTTTTATAGAATTTTAATTGATAAAATATATGTAAAAGTTTATACAATTATTCAAGAATTTCAGAAAAAGCAAAACAGATTAAAATTAATTTGAAATATTATTCATGATAAAATTTATTTTTAGTATTCTAATTTTATAATTACATTTATAGTTATATTTGATTTTAGTACTTTTAAAATATAAATCAATATAATAATAAAAATTATTAAAAAAATTTTATTAATATTATGCTATGTATTAATTTGATTTTTGATATATAATAATATTAAATGATATAAATACTTATTCTAACAATTATATTGAATTTTCAAAAAATATATTATTCAAAATTATGATCATTTGAGATTCTGACCTTCCAAGTCAAGATTTTCACTCTTTGAAATTATAGTCATTATTGATTATCATTTTAAATTTATGATTCTTTGGAATTTTAATCAATTTTAAAAATAGCATTTACAATAAGTTAAATGACAATCACCTTCACTACTTTAGAAGTATTTTTTAGTAAGAAGAACTTAATAAAACTACTATTTAACTTTAACTTTACTAAAAATTTATTAAAAGAATTCTACAGCTTTGATTTTACTAGAAATCTTAATAAATCAACTTCATAATTTCACTTTTATTAAGAAAATTTAATAATAATCAACTTTGAAATACTAAAACTATTTTTATAAATAAAAATAATGTTTATAAAGTTGTGAAAGTAATTTTACAAAATATTTATTAATAAAAAAATATTTTCAAAGCTACAGAAGCATTTTTTACTATAATATTATTAGTAAAAAATAGTTTTAAAATTGCAAAAGCATTTTTTACTATAATATTCTTAATAAAAAATGTTTTTGAAGATATAAAAATATATTTATTATAGTTTTTTATAGATAATTTTATAATTAATGGAATATTAATAAATTGCAACTAAATGCAATTAAAAATATTTTACAATAAATTTACTATAAAATATTGCGACTAAATAAGACTGAAAAATTATTAATGTTATATAAATTATGAAATAAAAATGTTTTGAAGTTGTAAAGATATTACTTTATTATATTTTTCTTAGTTAAAAATATTCAGAAGTTATAAAGGTATCTTTAATTATAAGTTTATTAATAAAAACATATTTTTGAGAAGGTATTTTACTATAAATTTCTTAGTAAAATGGTTTTGAAGTTATAAAGTTATTTTTACTATAATTTTTTAATAAAAATACATATTTAAAGCTATAATGATATTATTTATTATAGTTATTTTAATATAAAATGTTTATAAAACTAAAGAATTTTTTATTATTATAGTTTTTTAGTAAAAAATATTTTTAAAGTCACAGAAATATTTTTATTATATTTACTTAATAAAAAATATCTTTGAAGTTATGAAAGTAATTTTTATTATACTTTTTTTAAGAAATAATATTTTGAAGTTGTAAAAAATTTTTTATTATAAATTTTATTAAAAAAATATATATTTTAGTATATTATACTAATAATTTTTATAATTAAAACTTTAGAAATAACTTTATTTAATATTTAATTAAAAATTTATATATGATTTGATTTAATTTAACTTGATTTGATATATATTTGACTCAATTTGATTAAAAATCATATTTAAATTAATTTGATGTATTCAATCAAATATTCATTTTAATTAAATTCAATTTTGAGAAATCCTGATAGATATATATTATACTTTTTGTTTAAGTTTAATCTAAATATAGGTTATCTCTTGCTGAGGTCTTATAATTTATAATTTAAATCCACTATATATATGATTTGCATGTATTTTATGAAATTTATTTTCAAAATTAAAACTTATAAATCCTGCAGACTAAATTATTATAATTTGCTTTATTAGAAACTAAACTAGAATCTATCACAATGTTACTTCTAATCAATTATTACTAATTAAAGTATGATTGTCAAATCATTGAAGAATCAAATGTTAGTTGTATTATAAAAAATAGAGATATTAATTGAGATTATATATTTTTGTTTTAAGTTTTTTTATATATAAAAATCCATATAATATAAAGTCATTTTAACTATTTTAACTTTTATTTTAACTTTAACTTTTAAAGTTAATATATTTCAATTTTTAAGTTTTTGTTTTCACTTCATATATAATATTAGTTTTCTAGAAAATTTTTTTTATATTTAATAATATGATATTAAAGTAATTTCTTATACTAAAAAATAATAATTAATCGTACATATTTTCAAAGAAGTAACTATAAAATATAATCATCTAATAAAATTAAGAAATTACAA